CCAATTTAGATGTGAAAAAGAATGATTTAAAAGCATTATGGATCCACTTCAGCTTAATACTCAACTCATCGCGGCTCTTGTACCTTCGGCGTGAAGGTATTTGAACTACAAGATCACTGCGAGGGAATAAAATGGTGGACTATGAAATCCAATTGGCCGGAAATACATTACCATAAATGGCAGTTCCGAAGAAAAAAGTGTGACAAAGCAAACAATAAAACGAAACAAGCAACAGAAGATTTTGAACTAACTGAAAAAATTTGACCCAAAAAAATAATATAAAAAATATATTTGCAGTAACTGGACAGAATAAATTAAACTTTTCTAAACTCATAGACACTATAATTGCACAAAAAATAGTTTATAACCACAAAAAAGTGCATTTAGCATGACATGTCTCCTTTAAAAAAATTATGTTCAATAGGTTCTACTCAACTGAAATGAGTAAATCTAAAGCATTTTTTCACTTACTTTACAAGTGAATGTGAAGTAATTGAGTTAGATTTACTCAGTTCATTTGAGTAGATGCCAATGTTTTTGTTTWTGTTTTTTTTTTCATTATCTTCTCACTCTGGGTCAGACTCCAATCAGTTGACATCTTTTAATTAATATGTAAATAAAATGTTTCTGTGCCACTATACAGTCATAAACCTCTTTATGAAACTGGAATGGATCGGTCTGGAAGCTGGCAGGGTGCAAATCATCTTGTTTAAATTTAAAGAGACAGCCTCAAAATGAGTTGATCTGCAACACACCTCAGAAAAAAAAAACATGAAAAGGGGCTTGTGGAGTTACAATAAGGAGGAATTCAGACCAAAGTTCCACTTTATACAGACTCCAACTGAATGATTTAAATGTGATTTAAAAGCTTCTGCATAAGTAGAAAATGTAATTCAATCACTGAATCAAGTCTGAAGCAGGGAAACTTACTACAAAAAATAATCAGCTGTAGATGTGCAACCAGTTTCACTAAAACCTGTTCATTGTGAGATGTTTCACTAACAGACAAACCTTGATTAAAAGTTCATGAAAATTTTAGGCAAAAATATTGTGCAGTGTACAGTAGTTTGACTGTTTAATGAATGTTGAGTTCCTCTCCACCATCACACCATGTTTGTAATTCTTTTATGTGTGACAGAGAAATGTTAAGCCCTATACGACACAATCCATGTTAGCTCGTTCACTCGACCTTCTACTCAGCTGTGAAGTCTGTGTGATGTAAATTTTGTTATCTGTGCCAGTCCACGAGGGTCTGCTGGGTCCGTCTGCAGACAGCTGCATGCAGCCCAGATTCTGGTGAATGTGCACCAGAGACACAACAGACAAAGGCGGCTGTGAGTCAAACAACAAGCGGGAGAAAAAGGAAAACAACAAGGTTGCTTGTTTTTGAGAAAATACTCTGTGAGGAGCTTGACTGTTTTCAACAACTGGATAATTTATCGCTCAGGGACAACAGAGATGAACAAACTGCATCAGATTATTGGTGAGAAACCACGCTAACATATTTTGTTTCCCTTTCTTTGAGTAGCTAGCTTGTAAACCTGGACATCATTGCCTCCTGTTAGGCTGGGACATAAACTGTAGACCCCTCAGTGAAAAGCTGGGCTGCCGCTGATGCAAAGATTATTGAGAGCACAGCAGCATGGTCCCACAGGTGTGCAAGACATGGAGAGGCATATGGAAGCCTAATCACATTGAGCTGTTTTTTTGGTGTGAATCACTAATATTGATGTCACAACAGTGTAATGATCAAAACTGTACACCATCTTTTACGACATCATTTTGAAACTAAACGACCTGTTTGACTGAAAACTGAAGATTCTAAATCAGGACTTTTAGACCCCTCATATGATTTGTGCAGCCGTGACCACTGGAAGTCACATCAGTAAAATGTCTCATTGCCTCCTTTTCAGCACTGTTTATTTGCTCTTGTATCATCTCCCTGTGCGCGTCTTCCACTCTCTGCTTCCTGTCCATATTCCACTACCATCAATAACTCTCGACAAACCTGTCAGTAAACTTTTTTAGAAGCTCACTGTCACACAACTGCTGCTCTCACAAACTCTGCGCAGCTCGCTGTGTGCCATCTTCAGCCGCATCGTCTGGTATACAAGAAATCCCTGGGCTAATGCATTGCAAATTCTTCTCAATTATGAATTGAGTGCGTAGGATCAAAGGCACTGATATGGAGAATACCTTACAGAGGCTTGCCAGACAGCCAGGGGTATTGAAAACACAAATCAGACTAAAATACAAATCAGGAGGGACTGAGGAATGTCAAACGTTGCAGACTAAGGGAGAGCAAAAAAAAAATAAACTAATAAATAAAAAACACCATCTGATTAAAATCACACAGTCAAAACAGAGATGTGTTCTATGATGTAAAATGAAAAAGTGCGGTAATCAATAAACTAGGACATCTTTTTAGTATCTGAATCAAACAGTAAACTAAATCTGAAAAACTTCCTGGGGAAATTATAAACAAAGATGAGTGTCCTTAATACCAGAGGTGTATAGTAACAAAGTACATGTAATTTGCTACAGTCCTTAAGTTTTTGTTTTTGTCAGGATCTGTAAGTTTACAAAGTTTTAAATGGGAACTTTTACTTTTCTTTTATCACACTCAAAACATAAAACTTTACTATTATTTCTTTACTTTAAAATTTAACACCTCGTTAACCTCGGAACTCTTTGTGAAACAAGCTGTTGATGCACTCAAACAAAGGAGTGTTGAATTTACTTAACCAAGTCATGTCAACTGGTTCCAGTAAACAGAGATGAGCAAACTGTTTTACATTTACCTAGGTTGGCCTAGTGGAACCAGTTGGCATAACCTAGTTCCAATGTGAAGTTCCAATATTTTTATTTTTACTTAGTTATTGTACAAATTATTTTATACATACCTGCTTAATACTCACAATAATAC